TTTTTTTTTTGCAATCTCCCCAACCCTCCCCCCTTCCACCAGACCGACATTAATTCAGTTCAATTTAATATACACTTATTAAACACCTACTATGTGCCAGGAACTGTACTAAGTGCTTGGAATATAAAAAGAGGCAAAAAAAAAAAAGCCAAACCCAGTCGCTGCCCTCAAGGAGTTTACACTCTATAATAGGGGAGACAAGTGCAAACAAATATGTGGAAAGCTTTCTTGGTGTAGTGTAAAGAGTACTAGATTTAGAGATAGTAGGTCTGGATTCAAATCCTCCCATGGCTTCAATGCATGTAGTACAGTGGAAAGAATGGTGGATTTGAAGGCAGATGGTTTGGGTTCAAATCTTGCCCCTACCATTATTAGCCATGTCAGCTTGAACAAGTTACAAAACTTCTGAGTCTCAGTTTCTCCACCTGTAAAATCAGAGGATTAGACTTGATGACCTCCATGGTCCCTTCCAGCTCTACATTTGTGATTCTATAACAACATCCTTAATAGAGAAATCACTGGTCAAAGTCCCAGACCCCTGATATATAACAACAGCCCATACTGCTACACTTCTCTCTCCCTAAGTGAATTTAGTGGCGTGCTTACCTTTTGCAAGGTGAGCTCTGCCCCCACTCCACCCATACATTGGAAAGTATGCTGTATCTAGTCAAAAGAGCTGGGTCTAAATCCCCGTCTCTGTCCTGTTGTTTATTCACTGGGTGCCCTGTGACCCAGCCAATCATGTTCATCTCTGTGAGCCTCAGTTTCCTCATCTGTAAAATGGGAATTTTACACTACTTATACTCCAGGATTCTTATGAGAAAAGTGTTTTGTGTTATGTAAAATGTGAGCTCTCATTTGGGAGTTGTTATTTTAATGTGGTTGAGTTCACATATTGTGGTGGAGAGAGAGGGTAGTGGTGGTAGTGGTAGTGGTGGTGGTGGAAGGGAGGCAGGGGTAAAATGATACAGTTTGATTTATGCCCCCACCTCCTTGGTTAGGGATTTATAATCCAGTGGTGAAATTGGATATTCAGAAAATCCACTGTTTTTCTTAATCCACAGAGCCAGCAAGGCAAATATTGTAGGTTTCCTATTTTTTTCTGGTTTTTACCACTCCTGCCCCCAAGCCCATTAGGGTGGGAAATCTTGAAACATTCTCTACTTGGATGGAAAAAAATCTTCCAATCCAGGAGGGAAAAGTTCTGAGTTTAGGAATGAGTCCCAGGGCAGATTTCAGTCTGTAGAGCAATCAGTGCTAGACAACTGTGGATGACTTGTGGTTAGTCAAACAGAATTTAACAAGCTAAGCTGAAAAGATAGAGCATTTCCCAGCATGGGCTAATACTAGACATGTTGTTGATCCCAAGAACCTAGAATAGGTCAGGTGCGTCGGAGGTGAGACCCCAGAAATATTTAGTGTCAGGGGTCAAGGTGGGATCATCTCTACAAAGCAGGCCAGAAAAATTCCCATGATGCCAGGATTTCTAGAGCTGTTAAGACTCCCAACTGTTAGGGCACTTGCCAGGTTCCTGCGCCATCTCCAGCACCACTTACTGGTAGTTACTATCCCAATCCTGATTTAGTGTGGCCTCCAGGCTGCTCTCTGAAGACAATAATTCCTCCATCTCTGCCACTGTCCCCTCCATCCCCCTGCCTCCTCCAGGATAAGCAAGGCACCCTTGTCTACTGACCAGGCTCCATACCTCCAACTATGCCTTACTTGCTAAATATCATGGTTGTTTCTCAACCCTCATCCTTCTTGGTAGCATCACCTGTTCCTCCTGAGTCTTCTCTCCTCTCTGGGTTTTCATGACATTGCTCTTTCCTGGAAAAGAAGCAGGTTATTGAGGACCTTAATGTTGTTGAGAATTATAATTTTAACTTTAAATGCCAGACTGAGAAGTCTGTAATTTATCCCAGGGATCCATTAAAGGCTTTTTGAGTTGAAGAGGAAAGACCTATCATAGGAAGATAATTTTGGTGGCTATATGGAGGACAGGCTGGAGAGGAGAGAGAGAGGAATCAGGGATAGTAAGCCTGTGACTTCCTCCTCTTTCTTGAAGCTCCTCCCTTCCTTAGAGTCCATGATAATAAGCTTGTCCTGGTTCTCTTCCTATTTTGTGGACTTCCTTTTTTTGCTTCCTCTATGGAATCCTCTGAACAATTCTTAAAAATCTCAGTCCTCTACTGTGAGTTTTTTTCTCTATGCATTCTTCCTCAAAAACTCATCTGGTCTCAAAGCTCCAATTAGTATTCTTTCAGCTGATGACCTCTAATTTATTTCTCTGAGATATGTCACTTGCCTTCCAGTCCTCCCTTTCTGTCTCCTCTATTTTCAGTTGCCTCCAGAATATCTTTCCATGTATGTCTCCTTGTGATCTCAAGCGTGTTGGCCTGGTAGCCTGGTAGATTAGAGTATACTGTCAATTAAGCTAAGGTGAGATGTTTGATTGCCGGCTTTGTTTTGTTCTATAGTCTCAGTTTGCACCCCAGATCCCAGACAGCTGTTTCACAAAGGCTTTGATGTTGGTCCCACAAGGGAAACCCAATGAGTGTAGATGACTCAGTTCAAATCCATGCCCCGTACTGGAAAAACTACTCCAAGTACTATGGTGGCTAAGTAGATTGTGTCATCTTTACATAAAAGGTATTTTATTATTGTTGTTAATAATATTGCTGTTATTACTTCTCTAACTGGTTGGCAGTATTTAAAGGGTGGAGTCCATGAGTCTTACTCACTTTTTATACCACCCAGTGAATTGTGATTGTTCATTTCTTATTCACTGATGAGGTTGATGACTAGAGCTATATAGCAGGATGTATTCTGATTAGATGTTAATTAGAACTTCCCAACAATAAGA